CTGGCCACTCTGGTCCTGGGACATGCTCATCTCCAGCTGGAGCTGTGTGCTGGGCTCTGTGTTCAGGGGCCTTTGCAGCACGGTTGTGGCAGCAATGCCCTCTCTCTGCCGCCCAGGGTCAGCCTCAGCTCTGTTTAGTGCAGCCCCATCCCACCCTGCAGAACTCCCTCAGCAGCTGGAGCCACAGCTGGTTAGGGTGCCTTTCCCCATGAACAGCATTTCAAAAGCAGGCGGCTGCTGCCTGGGATTGACTTGCAAGACCCGTCCCTACTCCCACCCAACCTGGGCACTGTGCTGCCTCAACCTACATGTATCTTTTGGCTGCGCTTTGGCAATTTTGCATTCCTACTATTGCTCTATTTAAAAAAATGATGGATTCTAGTCTCTGTTCAAGGTACTTCATATCAGAGCAAGTCCTCAGGACTCCCCCAAGCTTTCTGCTGGCCACTCACCTTCTGCTGTTCGGTACTGAAGGTAAATTATTAACAGATTATACAATCTCTGCAGAGGCCAATTACAGTTTTCACACTTCCCAACCACTGCAAGCAGTCCCTGACTACAAGTAGTGAAGAATGTACTGGCTAATGAGAAGTTGTGGAGCGATAACTCCATCTCTGCTTTCTGTGTGGCTGCAACACCAGTACTTCTGGCTCTGTCTAGCTGGTCATTCAGAAGGAAGTGAGCAGCACCTGATTGTTAGGCCAGCACCAGCAATGTGAGCAGCCGTCCCTCATTTCTTCTGAGGGAAACACTGCAGACAGAAGGAAGTGAGAAAGGCCTGCCAGCCAGGTTTCCCATGTCTCTATGGACCCCTTGACTCCACAGCTTCTACTAGTTCTCCCATCTTATTCAGTTTTACTGAACAGCTTTGTCATCATCTATGGATAGTTAGAAGATATATGTACAGATACAGAAATAGAAGAATATCTACTTCTGTATTTTTTTCTCTGTGACCTCGAGGACATCATCACTGCTAATGGGAAATTGCAATTTCTTGCCTTTCCTCAGATCTGCAAAGATCCATGCTCTATCTAATGATACTTTAGCTAACAAGGCAATCACAGCAAGAAGTTGCATAGATTTCCAAAAAAGTTGAGGATACAGCATTCTGCATTGCACTTACTTAATCTCAAGCCTGCCTGTGTGCTTGATTTGCATTCAAACTTGAAGATGCTTTTTATCATTCAGTCTATTTCTTCTTCCACAGTGAGATCAATGTTGTCGTGCTGGTGTCATCAAGTGATTCCTCTGAAGTAATGATACCATTCAGGGGCCTTATTCACCTCATTTGGCTCTGTGCTAATTCTTCACTCATGTAATTTGATTCCCGTGACCATCTGTTAACCTCATCAGCTGGGGGCAGTACTCCCTCAACTGTCCCTGCCTTGCTTCCAATGGCACCTGCTTCAAGCTTCTAGTAGCTCTGGTCCTACCAACCAGGCGGCACCAGAGATTTTCTTATCCTTCTCCAGGGCCGTTTGCTTTGAGAGAGTTGTGGAGGTGGTGCAGTCATGCTCTTGCAGGCTCTGCTAGACTTCCCTCTAAGACGGACAATTTCTGCTTCTGATGGCCCTTTTGTGTATTTAGAAAAGCAAACGCAAATGCCAGTGCAAGGAGCAGGTAGAGCTGCCTTACCAGGTCTTAGCTGGGTCCCTGTCCTAGCTCAGATGAACAAGTGACCCCTCGCTCCCCAGCAGGGATCACTGGATGGTTGGCACCTGGACCCACTGGGGTGGCGAGCTTACCTCCTGAAGGCTGTGACTGTGGTGGGAGTTGCCAATCCTGCCAGGACAGCACTGGTGGGATGTGAGCTGCCCCTCGTTGAATAAAACCAGTTAACACTTCTGGTTAAGCAAAGCAACCTGACCTAGCTTTGGAGTCAGCTCTGCTGCCACTAAGGAGGTTGGATTAGCGATCTCTAGAGGTCTTTTCCCATCTACATCTTTCTGTGATATATGAAGAAATAGAGGCCTGCCATGGAAAGTTTGAGCTGAGTCTGAAGATATTTTGAAGTGCTGAGCCCAGAAATGAATGCTCTTTGCATCTTATAGCTGTCACCTCCTGTTTTCCCCCGTAGGCAAATGACACCCTCAGCCCCACCTCTTTGGTCTTTCACACCAGTTTTAAGCCAATAAATGAAACAAGACCAGTGTAATCAAGATCATCACATGGGCAGAATTGTGAACCCTCCTTCAGACCTGGAAAAAGTGAGCCCTCCAGCTGCCACTGGTCTAGAAGGAAACCCCTTCTTGCTTCAGGAAAGTCCATAATCACCCTGTCATATTAGCTTTAAAAAAATAGTGAAGATTAATTACTTCTCTCCCCCATCCCTTCTTCTGGGATCAGGGTCTTCTTTAGGCCCTCTGGTTAGGAGACATATTGCTCAGCCACTTCCCATATGCCATATGGGAAACTGAAACAACTCGCCTTCCCGGATCCTTAAGAAGCCCGTGTACTTTTCCCTCCCACCTCTCTCCCTTGTTTCAAGAGCAGAGTCAAAGACAGACGCACTCATGGCTGATCCAGTCTGTGCGTTTTCTCAGGGAAGAGGTCTGTGTTTACATGTGTGGGCTCAGACTGGGGACATATCACAGATGGACAGGACTGGAGCACTGCGTATCAGTGGATGGGGTTGGGGTTTGTTTCCTGGTGAGCTCTTACGGTTTTAGCAACACACGGACAGTCACAAGGGTGAGGAGAGGCCTAGGGTTTTAGTATTCAGGGGCCTTAGCCACACAAGATGGCTTATAGACTAAGCATGGTGCCATCAGGTACAGCTTCACTCTTGTGGGAGGCATTTGCTATCAGACACAGAAGAGGATGTTTTCCCATCTCAGGCTGTTCAAGAAGCCTGAGTCCCAGCAGGAAGTATCTGTGCGCAACAGTAGGTACTTAGCTGAGCTTCAGTGAACTGAGATATCAGAGCAGAGAAGCTTTGCCTTGTCGGGTGTACCTGTGCAGGCAGGCTGTGGCAGATGACTAGGTGACTTGCTGCAAATTACCCATTAAAGAGGACGGAAGAGGACACAACCCATGTACATGCTGTGGGTGATACCTAGCTGATACTATTTGTCACCGGAGGGCTGTAGCAGCTGCACATTCTACAAATCTCCAGTGTTTTTTATAATGACATTTATTGTTCCCATTCTCTACCGTGTATCTTAAACACTTCGTCTCAACATGTCCAGTTGAATGTTTCCAATGTCCTAGTGGGGTTCAAGATGCTTTCTCCTCAATTTAGTCCTTAATCTGTGAAGCAGTGTTATAATGTCAGCAGGGCATTTGACCACATGTCCTGCAATGAAGAATCTTGTCCCTAAGTCTGAAATGTTACTGGGGCTTCATGCATCTGAGATGGAAGATCCTAAAACCAGTAAAGGCTATAAGATGTAGCAAAAATAGCTTCCAGAGCTCTGTGATTGCGTATGTCTGCCAATACCTCTCTGGCAGCTCAGGTAGAGTCATGACTTAGACTTTCCCAGGTGTTACAGAGTTCATCCATCATTTTAGGATTCATTTATTAAGATGCATAATTTGTAACTAAATTTTTCAAAGACCCTTACCTGAAGCATCCTTCAGCAGCTTTTCTGTTGTTGTGCATCCAAATGACTTCACAGAAAGGTCTTCACTGGACAGCACTCCACAAGCATGAACTTAGATAGCACTCTGCTAGGCTCATCCATAAGCACACCAGAAATCCTATCTGAAAACTTAGAGCTTGTTGCTGTTTTCCTGTGTGAAGGATAGTTTCTTAAATAGTACTTCTAAACTTTTCCTGTCAGATCCAGTCTTGAAAACAGATGAGGCTGTCATATATGGCTCCAACAAATCTCTTGTGCTTCCAGGATAGCAGCATGGTAGATAGGGACCCAGATTTGAGCTGAGAATTTGCCAATTCTCCACAAGGTAAATTTCACAGAAGATTCAGTAGAGAAGTTTGGGAAAGCCAACCTTGTAATTCAAATGAGTTATG